CTTTGTGACAGAGTTGTCTTTGATAATGGAGAAGGAGACCTTGATTCCCTGAGAAGATGAGTTTCCATCCCCCTTTCCCTTCTGCATTACGTAGATGCCTGTGTTGGCTGTTGTTCTCCTGACAGGATTTGAAGGAAATGACTTCTGGGTGTTGCAGGGAGGGCTGGAACCGCCATGTGTGTGTGTGTGTCACAGGAGCTGTGCTGTGAGACCAGTTCATGGCTTGGATTTTAGGGGAATTTGTCAGGTTTGTGTCTGGGGATGAGACACGTGTTTGAAACACGTGAGGCGGGGTTGAAGACTGATCTGAAGCAAACAACTCGTATCCAAGGGTGCTGATCTGTACATCTGATGAGCTGGGGAAAAGTTTGGGTGTTACTCAGTTCCTATTAAACTTGGGTGATTGACATTTAATAGCCAGATCACTCAAAGCCTCCTATCTTTTTCCTGCGGATCCTGGAAGACTTCAAATGGTCATCATGACAGATAAAAGAACATTTTTTTTAGAGCCTTTTCTTAAGTATTAAAACATAACAGGCTCTCCCTATAGGCCATCTCTATTTGTTTTCCTGGGTAAAGCTTCTAGCTTTGCAGAAATGGAACAAGCCAGAGGGAACATCATCATTATGACTTGGCTGGAGATGATGACATTGACGTGAGGTCTTCTGACAGGGGATTAAAGTGGGGAATATTGGTAGCAATCTGTTAGGAGCAAGAGGATCCCTTTGATAAAAGGAACTAGGTGTAAAACAAAAAAAATGCCTTCTTTGTGGTGTTTTTTTTGGTTGTTACTGTTCTCCTCCCTGCTGTAGATTGTGGATTTCACGTGCAGGTTGGGAGGAAAGCCAGTGCTGTTCCAACATCTAGTTGGAACATCTAGTCACCTGGTTTAGAAGACAACTGGAGGCTGTGTAGGATCTGAAATCTGATCCAAACAGAGTTAAATTCACCCCATTTGCTTCAAATCTGACCACTGTTGCCACTGCTGGGTGTTTGCTGGTCTGCTTAAGGTGAGTTGGGGGCTTAATGTGAGAAAACAGTGAGGAGCACACAGTACCACCTGCCTGATGAACTAGATCTAACCACTGAGTGTGTTCAAACTAAAACTGTGATTTTTTTACTTGCTTTTTTGGGGGTTTGATGGTGGGGTTGATTTTTTTTCGCCTTTTTTTTTGAACGCTAGGGTTTATATTCCAAAGATTTCTCTTGAAGCCACCAGAAAGAGTTGAAGCTTTTTTGTTTCCAGTGTGAAATCTGAGATTTTTTGTAGATCTGCTTGGTGGCAGGAACTGGGAATATTGAAGTAAATGTCCAATAACAGGAAGTTTATGCTTTTGAGCCACGAGAGTTTGGCAACACCGAGGGCTGCGTGTACTGACAATCTCCAAATAATGCCATCATCTCTTTCCAGTGGTTTTCAGGGACCTGCTGAGTGAGTTACCCATAATGAGTCAAAGCTCTCTGCATGCGTAGGGATGACGTTCTCTGATCACAGTGGAAATAATGATTGACATCTCTGCTTCCAGCTCATGGGGCTTGTGCCCATGAGCCATTGATGGGAGTGGAGAATCAGGATGGATGAGGAGGAGCCTGGCGTGTAGGTACTGCCAACATCAGCCAGTTCTTGGTTATAGGAACCATTCAGGCTCAGATGATTTTACCACAATGCTTAGCAGCTTTATTTGGAGAAAGACCCCTTAGTTTTCCCTTTGGCAAGGTTCAGTCCTGCCTGCTGGTGGCTGCTCTTGGTTAAGAGCCATGCAGTGTGGCCTCAAAGCCTGCTCGTCTTCTGAGAGAGGGACGTGTGGGTGCTTACTGGGAGCATAAGGACCTCAAAATTGCTGCTTTAGTATGTATGTGATGCCTTTGAGACCATCAAAACACTTCTTGATGCATAAGCCAGAGAGGGCTGACTCTCCTGTGGTGGGCTTTTAAGGTTCTGTCAGATGTCGCTGCGTTTAATTCCAGTTGATGGTCAGCTGTCAGATGTTCCTTGAGGAAGGCTTTCTAATATCTTTGGTCGTTTTTTCTGCTTTGTGCTTTTTTGACAGCTCTTCTGGGTAGGGTTTCTAAACTCTTGCATGAAATGAAGTATTCCTTCCCACAGACTTTTCTAGGAATCTGCGTGGTAGGAACGCGTGCGACCATCCGCGCCGCCTTTCATCCCTTTCTCTTCAAGCTCTGGCAGAAGCTGCTTGAAGGTACCTTCAGCTTCTAGAGTGCAAATCCTGCCAGTAAAACAAGCAGTTTAAGGCAAAACCCAACATTTCCATCCCACAGTGTGTGCTGATCATCTGGTGCTTGTGAATTCTGTACAAACAGATTACATTTCCCTTAAAAGTGGTTCTGCAAACAGCTTGGTGTCCACCTGGATTTTCTGTTGCATTGCAGTGGGCGAAACTCAAGTTGCTTTAAGGGATTCAGAGGCTGAAATTTTTGCCTCAAGCTCCTGTAGACCTCTTCTAAGACCCCTATGAAATGATATGGAAGGTGGGTTTTGCCTAGCAGTGAGCTTCGTGGTTTCTACCTGAGGGTCTGAAACACAAGAACATTTGTTCAGCCTTCTGCGTCACTGGGGTGCTGAAGCTTTTGACAGTCAACTCATCGCTGACATTTCTGTTCGTGTGCAAGGAAGAGAATAATCCAGTATGTTTTTCCACAGCAGTGCTGTCACTGAAGGGCTGACAATAGTCAAAAAAAGTGCATTCATCACCAAATAACCAGATATTCTGGAAATGTGCCCGAAACGGAGACGTATTTTCTGTCAAAATGCCTCCCTCTGCATGGTTATTCTCTGCCTGATTCCTTTTGCCTATTTATTCTCTTCCCCAAGGGATTTTATAGCAACCTGAGTCCCTTTGAAAACCCACCCAAACAACCACAAGTGTATTTTACGTATAGTAGTAGGTAAATGATTAGTCATCACTTCTAAATTGCCTAATAGAGGAGGAGGAGGAGGGAATTTACATTGAGGGAAGGTGAAGAGCTCCATTGTGACTGCTGTATGTCTCAGTTCTTCCTGCCTTTTTTTTTCTTTTCCTTTTTTTCCCCCCCTAGAAGATAATTACAAAGGATTAGTATTTTTTTTAAAAATATCATCTTAAGAAACGTTTTCATTGGGGGTTTGAAAAATGGTAGCTGCACACTGTAAGCACATTTTCCACTTGCTTATATTTTCTTGGGGAAATTTATGTTGGTTTTTCTTTTGGTTTAAGATTCTGCAGCCTTCTCCTAACGTTGCTGATGAAAAATGATGTTGGCTTTGGAGATCTTAAATGTACCAATATGGAGAGCTGGGTTTATGAAGAAATATGTCTTGGGTAAAACATGATAAGATTATGTTGAGCATCTCTGGCACCAAACCAGAAATGCTGTTTATTGGAGTCTTGGCAGATCTCTTCACATGCTGGATATGATACCCTCTGCTTGGTTGCTTTGTTCTCTGCTTTTTGTTTTCCTCCCTTTGTTTGACTTATGAATAGTTAATTTCCAACACATGGTAACGCTGAAGAATCCTGAAATCATTTTTTTGGGGGGTGTGTGTGTCCTGGTTTTGGGACAGATCTCAATTTCTCAGTGAGTTTGGGAGGGTTTTGATTGCAGTGGTCTATTCCCTGGCTGGCTGTTTTTCAGGTGGAGTTATAGTGTACTATATTTCCTTGGGTTTTTTGGTTTGTGGTTGGTTTTGGTTAACTTTTTTTTGTGGAAGGGTTAATATAAAGTAATTGTGAGAAGGGTTTTCTCAGTTAGTGGTTTATTCTCTTTTCTCTCTGAGCATTGGCTCTGGGAAATATATTTGCATGTGCTTCAGTTCTTAGGCATCATTTTCCATATTGTTCCTCCACTCCCATCTCAACCCTTTAAGTATGTTCATCAGAGAGATAAAATTTGTGTAAGAAATACCAAAAAGCAAAAGGGAAGAGTTATTTTGTTTTACTTCGTGCAACCTAATAAGCGATTTGAGGAAAAGGATTTTTTTCAGTTTGAGGAAATTATTTTCATGTCCAAGAACTTGCAGGGTGACAGGGGTGGTTTATAGAACTGCTTGCTGATCTCCTCCATGTGCCTGAGCCCTCGGAGAGAGCAGGGCTTGAGTTTTGAGAGGCTAAATTCCACTTGGAACACATGAAATGCAGCTGGTTTCGTGTGATGAGTTCCCCTGGGCTTCGATGTGCAGCAATTGCAACAGCGAGCAGTGTGAAATGTGCCTTCAAAACAAGGAGGCTGATGTTGCAGTGAGAGATTTGCAGATTTTTTCCTGTTTTCCCCCCCTTGCTTTTCTTCCCATTTGCTGTATTTATGTATTTGCACTAATAGCCTCAGCCAGGATTCATGTGCAAGCCTCGAAGAGGTGCCTGTTGTGTCAAGACAATTTGGCTCGCTGCCGTGGCTTGCAAATCACTCCAGCTCAGCCCAAAATGCTCCTTTTCTGTCAGATCAGCCATTCAGCTGGCACACAGGGTTCCGAGGAGCAGCAGAAATGCCTTTGCTGAGGCAACTCTTCCAGTTTAATTTCTGAACCATAGCCTGGGCATCTTTTTCTTCCTCAAAAGGAAGTTTTTAGTGGCCGTTGTTCGGGGAATAGGATTTCTTCCTTCTCCTCTTCCCCTTCTTGATTATTTCAGCTTTTATGGAGCTTATTAAATGAACGTCTCAGTTCAGTTCCCTGGCAAACCAGATCACTTTCTGAAGGCACCCACCTAGCTGCTTTTTCAACGGTGTTTAACTATTGACATTTTAATTGGAGCAGAAGCCACGGCTAAAAAACCGTCGAGTTCTTTTTTTCTCATCCCCTCATTGATTTCTATTGAAGCAAACAGATGAGCTTCTATATAAATATGTATATAGGCTTTTTTTTTTCTTTTTAAATGAAAAGTGCTCGCATTCACTAAAAAAGGTTAAAATTGCCATGAGTAATCTGCAGTGCATAATGCAATTGTTAATTTTAGCTCGGTGCGTAGGAGCTGTTATGACTTGAACAGCCGGCTCCAGCCTTCATTAGAGAAGAAGCTGGCAGTTTTGAGACAGGTGGAGCTGGATCAAGCTGTGAAAAGTGATATTTCTTGAAGCTGGTCATCAGTGTTAGAAATCTGGTCCTCTCTCTTACCTCCTTACCTTGTAGCATGGTCGTTAACCGCCGCTGTTATTTACTTTCCATCTTTTTCCAGGTTGACTATGATCCCTCAAACTCTCTGAAGGACCAGCATGGAGATGGGCACTCTGAACTGTTAATGGGGACATGGGACTCACGTTGTCGTTGATCATCTCTGTGGACTTAACCAGCAAAGAGCAACAGAAGACTCTGGAAGGGTGGTGGGAATCGTAGCAGTTTTCCAGGTAAGTGGTTTCTTGGGTGAAGGTGACAGACTGTGAGTGGAGCTGGGTTTGGTGAAGGCTCTGTAACCTTTTTATCTAACCCTGTAGAGGAGCTGCAGGGCAACGTGAAGACCTCGTGTGAATTTGGTGATGAAAATCCTTGATGAATTGAGGGTTATTGAAGAGACCAGTTCCAGGTCTTGCCATTCATTGTGGTTGGAATTTTTAGCCAAGAGGTTGGAGTTTCAGGGGGAGCTGCAGAGTAGCCAACACCATGGGTGGGTTCCTGGGGAGGGTGATAGGAGGAAGGAGAACAACTCCAAGCTTGACCTGGCTTGCTGTGAGCTCATTTGTGAGCTCTGTGTTCCAGCCAGATTATTTACAAACCATGTAGCTTCATTTCTGGTGAAATCCACAATCTTCTCAAACGATGCAGGAAAGGTTTTATTGCTTAATTTGCTTACACTGTCAAAACAAAAGCAAAAATTGAAGGAGTAAGTTTTTAAAACTGTTTATCTTTTCTTTTTCACTTAAAACATAGCTTGAAAAAAAATCAAAGCAGTGATAAACGATATCAGAATGTTAATGACAAGCTTTAAAAGAAAAATGGCAAAATGTGCTTTTATCTTAATAGCCACTGTTTTTTTGGTGAAAAGTGGCCAAAGCCCCTTTCTGAAATAAATCCCTTTCTCAGCTGTTGTTTTTTTCCTTGAAGATACT